TGGTGGGGTCTGCCTCACCTTTGCACCTCTCTCTTCCAAAAATGCGTTTTGACTTGATCTTTTATTACCTGTTTACTGCTTTTACACAGAATCTGTGCCTGATTGAGAGCACCAGGTGGATGGTGGATGGCCAAAAATGCAGTTCAACAGTCCTTTTGCATGCTTGCCACCGAGTGCAGCTTTCATTTATTATATATCTTTCTTATCTATGTAAAATAAGCTGTGGCTTTTCTCTTTCTTTAACAAACTTCCCCACAGTGCCTGTTCTTGCAAGATCTAAGCTTACTAAAATTAGTGAAGATTTTCTCTTCAGTCATAGCCCTGGGAGTGTGTTTGTCCCAAAGTCTCATGCATGGATGTAGGCACTTAGTTCTAAGCACAATCTCTGGGTAGCATATATTCTGTACAAGAACACTGGTGCCTCTGAAGAGAATGTCAGAGAAGGCAATAATTATGGGTGTAAGTGGAGGCTGTGGCATCTGTCTCTGCCTCATTATCCTAGGGCAGTGAAGGACATTTGGGGACAAGAATACAGCACAGTGCAGCATCCCTAGGCTTCATTGATCATGTAAGTAACAAGGCAGAAGCAGAGACACTCCCATCACTATTTCGCATTTCCATACTCCTCTTTCATCTTTCTCCTGCCTGATAACTGATGCAGCAGGATCATGCAGAACTTTAAAAAAAAAAAAAAAAGAAGAGGAAAAAAAAAAAAGATCTGTAGACTTGCTTCTCTTCCTCTCCCGGATCCCAAGGTTTCTCTGTAAGCTTTGTTTTGTTCTGAATGTGATACGTCTCATATTGTTTTATGTGCCAGAGAAGTAGAAGTCTGTGTCTCATCCAGTCACTTGAATGCTGTAACTTAATGATGATGGGGAAACACACACTTACAGCACATGGTTGGTGTGACCTCTTTCCAACACCAAACCAAGCAGGGGGTGAGTCATGCCCTTACTGTACTTATGTCTGTCAGCTTGCTGTGCAGAGAGCCCCAGTGACTGGATCTGAGCTGGAAGCCTGCAGTTCAGCATATAAAATAGGGATGGAATCCTATTATTCCTGACTTAGGGGTGTGTCAGTCAGATTTTTGGGCCCTTACTCAACGGAGCACCAGGGCCCGTGCTTTGCTTCAAAGTGGTGCTCCTAGGCCTTGCTGCAGGGAGGTGACATTGACCGCCTGCCTTGATGCCAGGCTGAAGTAGCTCCTTACTGTGCATTTTATGGGGTATTTACAAAGAGTAGCAGAAAATATTCCACTGTCTCCAGCTGTGTGCGAGACTGCAGAAAATTCAGTGCAGATCCATTTGTCTGGACCAAAGTTGCAGTAGCAGTACTAAAAAATGGGATGCCTAACATTAGTTTTTTTCAGAGGTGCACATGGGCCCTCATCCCCAAAGCACAGAATATCTGTTTCTGTCACAATTGCTGTGTTTTTCATCTGTCTTTGGCAAGTTTTAAAAATGCTTTTTGCGCTGTCAAATACAACCATATTACAGAAAGGTACTTTTTGCAACTAAGGGGAATTTCCTACGGAACTTCCCTAACTGTCATCTATAACCATCGTCAATGACACACATAAGAGAAGGTACAGAAAAAGGATGATTTTTTTTCTTTACAATGAGCATCACTGTTTTTCAAGTGCAAAAGAAGCAGAGGCTTTTCATGCTTTTGATTTTTGCAACTGCCTTCAGTCAAAGTAGACATTGCAGTTGTTTTCTTCTGGAAAAGCTCTTCCACATTTCACCTAGAAAGGGAAAAAAAGCCACAGCTTTAGGTTTGTATAAATATTTGCACAAAGTTAATTCTAGAGGTTGTGCGTGATCATCTTTAATCGCTTTAAAAAATCATAATAAAGAAAAAGTATTTTTCCAAGAACTGTATGCAATTACGTACAGAGTCTGAAGCAGTGGCTTAAATGTACAAGGCTGGTTAAGTACGGAAGGAATGGATTTGGCTCACCAATTTTGAGATGAAACAGAGCTGTTTTTGGAAAGCCATTAGGAGTGTCAGTTTGGAAACCGGCTATCTCTGCACCTGCTGAAGAGCTGCAGTAAGACCAATCTCCATTGCACTCTCTATTTGCTGTGAGAGTATGAACAGCAGTAACAAATGTAGGGGGTTTGGAAGATGCTGCCGAGAGCAAAGTGGGACAGAGCAGAGGTCCACTGGCTTAAAGGGAAGAAGAGAGGGCAGAGGAGCTGAGAAGGGGCCTGCTGTGTGTCTGCAGGATTTTGAAAGCTTGCTGCAGGTCATGGACTGATGCGAGAGCCTCACAGTCCGAGTTTGGGAAGCAGATTGTGATGTCTGGGAATGGTGGAAAACCAATTCTTGCATAGCATAGCATGCATTTCTCCAGGAGCAGTTGTGTCAGCCCTGAAGCGAGGCTCTTACTCGAGTGTGGTGTTGTACAGGTTTTTACCGTGCCTTTAGGGCTGGGTGGTGACTGTTATCAGTGTGGATCATAGTGGTATGAGTTTATTAAGTTGGGACTACTTACTTTTAGAAAACAGTATTCTGGTTCAGGAGCGTCCCTTATGATTGCTTGGTACTTTTTAAAGAGTCAGGAGCTGCTCAGGACAAATATGCCCACCTCCCGCTGTGCTGATGGCCACACAAATCCCAAAGGAAAGGGTCCCAAGCCCTCGCTCTGAAGACAGCTCTGAATTACAGAGGTTTCCCCGACCCTAAGTACTAGCCACCTTCAGGTCCTGTGTCTGAGCAGCTCCAGGCTTTCTGGGGTTTGAAAACTCAATTCAGATATTTGGCCCAGCTTCTTAATGAAAACGGAAAATTGCATTTTGAGCCTCAGCCTTCCTGAAGAGCAGCCCGTGCCAAATGCGAGGCGTCGGAGATGAAAACAAGAATTTGCAGGACGCGGTGTCCCATGGCAGGCAAAGGTCAGCAGGAGTGCTGAGCAGAGCAGGACTGGCCCCTCCGGCTGGAAACTTTGCTGTTTGCTCCACGGCCACTGCGGTTTGAGGCACCCGCAGGTGCGTGGTGGGAGCGAGCCATTTGTTTTGCTCCGAAGAGGATATTTGTGATTAGGGAAATCACCGATTTTATGCACTAGTGTTTTTTGTTTCCTTCTTAAGGAAAAGAAAAAGGGAAAAAAAAAAAAGAAGGGGGGGGGGGGGACCTTTAGAATGCCAAAAGCTTGTCTTAATATTTCACCAAAGTATTTTATAAATGCACGTTGCAAATGGCAGTATAAATTCTCCGCTATGGAAAATTGCTATCTGGTTTGAAACTAGGCAGGATAAATAGAACTATAAAAGGTTACCTGGAGTAAACAGATAGGGTTTCCAAAATGTACCACATGAGATAGATTGGAGCTCATAGTAATCTATTTTCCATGCTTAACATACGCTCAGCATCAGCTGAACTCTGTAACTGAGCTGCCATCTGTATCAATCCTGTTCCTAGATGTCATGGCCCTGTTAATGAAATCTGGAAGTGAAATTGTAAATGGATTCAGTGAATGGTAGATGTCAGCCATTGCGTGATGGGCAATCATCAATCATCCACTGTCAGTTATTTCTGTCTCAGTGAGTAAGCCTTTATTTAAAGCATAAAGTAAGAATGTTGCCAGACCACAGGAACAAGCCCTGAGCTGTTTGCAGGTGCTGCTATTCACAGCTGCCAATTAAACCCCTGACATTTCCATAATGGCCAAGAGGCAAAGCATATGCACTTGATATAAACATTTTTGTAAAAATTAATCTCAGTTTATCAATACTTCACTTTTTCTCTTTCTTTTTTTTTTCCCCCTTTTTTCCTCAGCTGTGTACAACATCCTACTTGGCCTATTGTTTGTTTGCTGTAGAAAGAGAGAAATAGGAGTTGGAAAGCAGCCAGGGCGTTCATTTCCCCAGGATATACAGTAGATTCCAGTGGCTCATTTCAACCCTTAATTGGGGAGGGAAAGCAGAGTCGTGAGGAATCAGACCTTTGGAAAACGTTGCGTGTGCCCCTTGCCCCCCAGTCATGCACACGTGCTCCACCCCAGCGCTTCGCTTTGTACCGGAGCTGGCTACAAAGGCGATGCTTCATCTGGCCTATGCTGCCACTCAAGTCACCCAGCCCAGTGTGGTTCTTGGCTACACCACCAAGATTTTGCCTTATCTGGGTGTTTATGGAGATCTCTGGGTGTGTGGCTGCTCTGGTACTTTTCGTTCATCCTCTGACATCTGAGCTAGGTTGTTTTAAGTGGATTTTAGTTTTTTTTTTGAGAGAGAGATGAAAAATATTTTCATGGAAAAAAAAAAAAATTAGATATTTCTACAGAAAAATAAACTGCCCCATACTGCCACCTGACATTTATAGTTGGAGGACATAAAACTTTTCTGAGGTCCCTTTATTTTTTGCTCTCAGCTGTTTATAGTTCTTTGGGGCTACGCTGATCTGTAAGTAAATACAGAAAAAGAAAGGGCTGCATTCACATTTCCAAGGAGATTTCATCGCATGCTGATTGCTCTGCTCCATTTTGCTGCAAAGCCCAGACAAGGCAGAACAGTGACTGAGAAACTGGATAGCGCTGGGGCATTTTAAAGTTGGCTTCTTCATTCTGCATGGTACTAATTAAGATCACAGAAGTCAAACAGGAATCTAAAGTGTATTTTCATGTATTGTACTATCTGGTTGTAAAATTATGCACTACTGGATGAAATGGATTTCTGAAATGTGAAGACTTCTGTTAACATGATATATTGGGAGCTGGTGTTAGAGGGCTTGCTGGCATGTGTGTATTAAATTGGATGTGATTTTTTGCCAGATAGCTGTGCTGGTATGAGTGCTAATTGTCAGATGCACACTTACTGCTGCAGCTTTTCTTAGCGTTGCTAATTTTATTTCACCTACCTGCACGAAGCCATCCTGCCTTAAGCACTTCCCTGGCAGTGGAAGTGTGTCTCTATTGAGAAGTTGTCTACCTACCAATGTATTTGGAAGTTTTAAGTATAGATTGATCTGTGCTCAATTTGCCATTTCTTTTGTCCATGTAGGTGCCTTGTGAAGTTCCACGTTGCTCCAGATTTCAGAGACAGATGCTGCTTCGTGTACTCAGGACTTGTTTCAACTTCAGCTAATTCAGGTAATTTTCTGGCAGGATTTGCACGCTTCTTAATTGTTGAATGCTTTTTAAAACTTTATTTCAATCAAAAGCATTCTGTGTTTTTAAGATCCACAGATAAAGTAGGCATTAAAAAAGAATGTTACTTTCTAAATAATGCTACTCTAGCTCAGCTCTCTTTAGAACCTCAAGGACCAAACAGGCTGAGCAAACGTACCCAGGACAGATCAATGAGCTATCTCTTGTTTCTTTTATTTTAACCAGAAAGTGGTCCAGACAGGCTGGCTTATCAAAAAAGGTTCAATGGCAGAAACAAATCCCAAGCTAAAAGTCTTCTCTGTGAGGGATCTTTGTGGCCATAAGTTTGTTAAAACTCAAGATGACGGTCTAATCTGTGTACTTTCACGTGAGCAAAAGTAACTCCTAAATGTTGGTGAAATCATGTTGCAGTGCTCTCACATCCGACAGCCTCTGCACTGAGCTAAAAGGCAAAGGTAAAAGGTAACTAACCCACATTAGGCTCAGTTCCTGCACTCTTGTAGATGTTACAACAATAATAATAATATTGCTCTGAGTATGTCCACATGACAATGCAGAAATACCCAAGCTAGCTGTAAACGAACCATTGTAGATACTGGACGCAGTCTAGATGAGACAGCAGAGAACACCGAGAGGACTAATTTACCCTGCTTTTTGGCAGTGTTAGCTCCATATGGGCTAATTTATCCTGCCAGAAAGCAGGCTCATTTATGGCTAGCTCATTTATAGCCAGCCTGAGTACCTCTTTGCTATACTGGAATTTGCAATGTAGACGTACTTTCTATTAAGGTGACAAGTGTGTGATTGTAGGAAGTAAAAATATGGAGGTTGGGATTTTGAAGGCACCTTAGGGCTTCTTCCTAGGGCAGTTTAAGAGGTTACCACCTCCAGTGATCCGCTTCTCAACTTCTGCTGAGGATAACTTTCTACATACCTGAGTTAGTATGGGAGTTATTGCCCACCACAGAGCCTCTTGAGTTTACAGCACAACATTTTAGATTAAATCAGTGAAGAGGGCGTGCTTGCATTAAGACATTAAATGATGAGCTGAATCAGAGCAGAGATATCTATGGGCTGCAGTAGCAGGGCAGACAGCTTGGGAGCTAGTGCTCCCTTGTTGTTCATCAAGCCCAAAGAGAACTGGGCACCAGGTTCCATGGAAGCATCTTTCTGCTGTAGAGTGTAATGGGAGTTGGGTATCTCATTCTCCTCAGATCCACTGAAAAAAAGCTGTCAGCAAAATCTGTCCTCTTAGGGTTGCATAGATCCAAATGTTGCTATCCAGTCATCAACTGTAAAGTCCGCTTAGGTCTCTGATCCAATAAAGAAGCTGTTACACAGACCTGGCTTTCTAGCATGACTCCAGTGAGATTTCTCAGGTGCTTAAAGCTAAATGTATTTTTAAATGAAGATTTGTTTGTTCAAGCTCTACCTCCATTTACTTCAGGGTAGTTAATGCATGTTAGCACTTCTGGTGCAAAGGGAGGCTAGCATTTGGAGTGGGATTTGGCATTCAGGAAGGAAAATGGATACAGCCGCCATTCTCACTTCAACCAGCGCAGTCACGTACGATGTGCTGAAGGCTTGTCTCTTGCTTTCTGCTTCTTGGGCTGCCCAGCTATGATCTAGTATGCTGACCTTACAAGCCAAGGAATGACTTTCATGCCGCTGAATCCCATCAGGAACTTCATGTCTCTTGTGGTTGTCTTCATCCATGGCTAACTTGTATTATCATTGGCACGCTTAGAATTGTGATGTTATGTTTCAAATGTTTCTAAAGCTGAAACACACAAGCTCTTTTATTTCACTTTTGCCTAGCAGGATTATTTCAGCTCCACACATGCAAAACCTCATATTATGCAAGAAATTAATCATATCAGGGCAAAGTAGCTACTGAAAAATTGCCAAACACCATAAACATTGGTCAAAATGCAGGCCAACCATTTGCACAGCAAGTAATTGAAGCTAGGGGTTCATTGGAGCGACGCGTAACTTTTCATTATGAATTAGAAAGCTTTTCAAACATAAAATGATGTCTGAGAAGACTGCACTACCTAAAAGGTTTCAGTAAACACTCACACACACACAAAAAAGTGCTAAAATATGCTGGAGAGATCAATCATGCTTTATGGTTACTTGCTCCACGTAGTTTCACACACATTCTCCGATAAACAATGTCCCACACGCTCTGCCCAGACCCATTATTTTCTTCAGCACCAAAGCATCAAGGGCCAGATTCTCATTTGGTTTAAGTCAGCAGAGCTCTGCTGAGGTTGACTGCTCACCATTGATTTATGCCAGCTGAAGATCTGGCCTGAAGAGTGACAAAAATGTAATTTTATGTTTTATTTATGGGTGTAAAACAATAGTCCTAAAGGGAGCAGATGTTCCATGTCGAGGGAGGAGGTTTATGAAATGCAATTCCAGACACAAAAGCTAATCTCTGTGGTCAGGGAAGGCATGAGGCCTGTTTTACATGATGAACTTTAATTGAAATCTTGCTCTTTTGTGTTCATTTATTTCTTCTATTTGGGAGCCGACAAGCGTCATTTAAATTACTTACCAGCTGCCAAACACCTTAAAAAGCAATAAACAGCTGACTTAAACACCTGGAGAAGGTTGGACAATTTTCACTTGTCCCCTCGGTACCTGCTGAAGTGGTATTAATTTGGTATCCCATATTTTTAATTAAGTGGTCACTTCACTGAAGAAAATTCCATCTGTTTCAGATGGAACTGTGGGGAGAAAAAAGATCATTCCATTTTATGGAGAGTTTTGCAATTGTAAGATGTCTGTTTTTTTTCCATTTTGGAAGGAAAACCAAAGTATTTTGAAATTCTCTAAAACAGAGAAGGGAGCGCCTGCCTCTAAGTCTCAGGCCCCAGACCTCTTATTGTCTCCAGTGCCCAAGCTATTCTCTTTGCGGACCATCTTCCCTCTGTAGTTCCTAAAGTGGAAGTTCATTGTTGCTCTGAACCAGTAGCCAAAAACTGAAATAAGGGAGCTGAGAGAGTGGTAACAGTCTGCTTTCAGGGCTGTCACAGAGTTTGGAGCACCTTTTCATTGTGTTTTCTTTCAATGAGCTGACAAATTTAACTCCTAAACCATGGCTCTGCTCTATAAAGGAAAGTGCGTTCAGCGGTGCACCTTCACTTTGGTTTTATGTGGCACGAGAACATAGCATGGTGAAATGTGAGCTCAGAGGCACAAAATAGTAGTCAGCAGAGCAGTACTGGCTCACATCAAATTAATTTTGGACCGAAAAGTGGAAGGATGAGATTTTCAGCCTGACTTTCCATATTCCTCCCCACACCCATGAGGTCAAGCACAGTGCATGGGGAGCTGGAGAACAAGCTGAGCTTATCAGAGGTTGGCACTGATACCTATGGGGCAACTTCATAACCAGAGGGCAAGTGGAGCAAAACTGTGAGTGCATATTAGTGTATTCTATGAAAGCTAAAAGAGTAAAACAAGATGCAGATTGAGGAAGGATGTGTCTGAAGGATAGGATGCAGCAGGAGCTAACTGTCTCAATTTAGTTGGAAATCCCAAATGAAAGGTATGTTTTTGTTCTAAAGCAGGGTGAGCAGGAGAAGACCGAAGTTCTCTATGAACCAAAATTAGAAACCGAAGGCTGAAAATTGGATTGCATGAAACACTGAAACATCTAATTCATGTTTCAGCAGAATTTTTTGTTGGTTCATTTAAGAAATCTGGTGCGTCTTCATTGTAACACTTTTCAACACAGCAGCAGCAACAACCACAGTTCTCCATTCTAAAAATTTCAAAACGGGAGCTTCCAAGGTTATAAAAACGCTTAATTTTTATTCACCTCCCTGAAAAAGAAGTCAGAACAATAAGTTGTTCAGAACATTTTAATTTTGTTAGGCACGTAATTTGTTCCCTTTCCAGATGCCCATTTCCAAGGGCCTGATGCCCATCATGTAAGGAGAGATGTCTTTGGTGCAGCCTTCACAGTCACTGTAGATTTCCTTAGAAGCCTCCCAGAGCCATCTTGTTCTGCTGAAGAGCAGTGCAGAGAGATTAATGCCAAGGATCAAGTGAATCCCACCCAAATATTCTTGTCCCTAGAGATAGCTGCTGTGTTATACTGAGTAAAGCAGTTCACATCTCTGTGCAAGATGTGCTGCATTTGTGAAAGAAGCATTTATGTACTGAAATCACAGAAGAGTACTAAAATGCTCAAACAGTTGGAAGGACTTAGATACAAGGATGTATGGAAGCACCAAAGCAAGTGCCCACGCAAAGTATGGGAGGAATTTATTACGTGGATAATTATCACAAACAACTGAAGGGGAATCAAAATTAGGGCTTTCCAGGGGAACCTGGGAAAGAAGTTGGGTTGTGATAAAGGTGGAAGTAATTTTCTTATCATATGATCTGTTTGGTCTGGGGAGTATTTTCCAGGAGAAGCAGGCTTTGAGTCATTTCATACCAGAGCTTGGAAGGGCACTTAGAGATCCTTCCTGTCGAGGCAGGGAATGAAAAAATAGGGTCTACTGATCTTATCCAGCCCTCACTTCATTCAGCAGGAATCTGTTCCACTGACTAAACCAGGATTTGGATCAGACCCATTTTTACCTCCTATGTTGATGACTGTCTGAGAAGACTTAGGAAAAGACTGGAGCCCAGGAATGAGGCTAAGAATGGCTTTTTTGGGCTGCTGTAAGGAAAAATGCAAGTCTCCAAAAATCATGAAGATCACGGCTGGCAAATCAGAGAGACTACTTTATAGCTGGGAGCTGAGTCAAGCTCTGAAATGTATTTGCAGAATTAAATGACATTAAGTCTGGGTGTTGCTAATTCCCTTAATACCGTAAGGAAACACTTCTCAAACAGCAGCTATAAGGGCAGCGTCATTGCTTGGCAAGTTTTGCCTTTGCCACAGCAGGGGGATTTTGCCACAGCTCTGCATATCCATCTTATTTTATTTATGTGACCAGCATTTGAGAGTGGTTTTG